GTGAGATTGGACAAAAAGCAGGATCGGTGGTCGAATCATACAGTGACTAGCAAGAGGAAAGGATTTTTAAATTGGTGAGAATTCTGAGAAGGATGAAGAAATTAGACACGGAAGATATTCAAGATGGGTCTGGTTTCCACCAGTCCGTCTGGATTGGAGAGTACTCTTAGATTTGTGAGATTCATCATGAATTTTTTTTTGATAATTTGAATAATTTAATATGTAAAATTTGTTGAATACTATATGTTTGTAAAAAATTATATTGTTCAGATATCGATAGTTATATGATCAAATCAGTTTTGTATTAAAAAAAATAGAAGGTAAAAAAATAAACGGTGATCCGATGAAATAGCTATCGATATCCGATCAACGTAATTTTTTACAGGTATATAATACACGACGAGTTTTACACATTCAACGGTTCAGATTATCAAAACAAAACCAATAATGAACCTCCACGGACCCAACAATACCCTCTAATCTAATCCAAAACTGAAGAAAAGCCAGACCCATTCAAAATATTAGGCGTGATTATGGGTCACAATTTCCTGCTTCGTCTGTGTCAGTAGTGATCCAAATTCAGCTACTTCCTCCACTCATTAAGGCAGAACATAAGGAGCGAAATTATTACCAAGGAAGACCGGGCTACGCGTTGAAGATGTGCACAATAGCTGGATTCACACGGACCAAAACAAACCAAAAAAAAAAAACTATTAAAAAAAATGACAATGCTACATAGCTCAAATTTTGTGACTCAAAAGTGACTCAAATGGTTAAAACGACGTCATTTTGAGTACAGAACAACATAAAAATGGCCAAAACGACGTCGTTTTGGCCATTTGAGACACTTTTGAGCCACAAAATTTGAGTTACGAGACATTTTCCTAAAAAAAATGTCAAAGTCGTAGTCAAATCAGCTAATTATTTTTTAAATTTAAAAATTAGATTTATTTTTTTTAATTTAATAATGTAACCATTAATTAAAATATTTAAAATAATTTTTTTCTTCTATTTTTTATAATTATCGATTAATTATCTCACTTACACATTATTAAATTTAAAAAATGGGTTTAAAAAATAGACTTGTATATCATTTTTTCTATTATTATTTTTAAAATAAATTACATTAAGACATCATTAACTATTAATGAAAAAGTATAGCAAGCTGTCTTAGACTAGACCGTGTTTTTCAGGCTCGTACAGATGATTTAAATCGTTCACTTTGTAGACAACATGTAAATCATTCATTACAAAAATCAGGTCGATTCGATAACTGTAACCACGTTAATTTATTATATTTGTTTCCTAAAAAATGAATTGTCTAGTTTTCAAATAATATTCAAATAAATGCGATAAAATAACGTAATTACAGTTATCGGATTGATTTGATTTTTTTCCTGGATAAACAACACGTGGTTTAAAAAATGAATCATTCGAATTATTGAGACGGGACCCATAATGGGCCCTTTGAACCTAAACAACACGATCTAATCCACAAAATAGATTGAAGACGAGTTAATCCCTAATGAATATAATTTACTTATTCTCAATAGAACATGAATAGATCCAATATAATATTTACAAACATGAATTTTATCTATCTAACAATTGAATCAATTAAACGCAATCAATTTTAACATGAAAAAAATCACTATTAGAACATTTCTAATGATGATTGAAAAAATCACGAGCCCAAAGGTCAAGCACCAATTCATTTTGAAGAATAAAATACAATACGAATCAAAACCTCTCACAATACCTAGCAAATTCACGTCCTATTGCTTTGGATCCTTTGTCTTGTTTCTTTTACCATTTTTATCATTGGAATTGGAGCGCCCATGTTGAATACTCAACTCAATTCATCTATTGAATCTTTTAGATTATTTTTTTTGCTATTTTAATCTTAAAAAACAAAATAAATTAGAAAGTCAATAAGACAAAATGTCACATTAAAATCATAACTATTTTATTTTTTTTCTCATAAAAGTCAAAAAAATAAAAAACACATCATAAACAAGACTTTTTAGCCCCATGCTAAATAGCCAAAATGCCAAAAAATCAAAAAGTCAACCCACATTCCAAGCGAAGGTTGTATTTAGTTGGAAGATTTGATAAGAGAAATAGAAAGAAAAAAAAATAGAAAGAAAATGAGAAAAAAAAAATTGATATGATTCAAATTTCAAGTTATGTTTGGTTGAGTTGAGAATTAAAGAAAGAAAATAGTTAAGTATACTCAAAAGACAAAAAGTAAAATTGCATTTTCCTCTCATTTTTTTTTTCCCTGTGTTTTCCATTATAACCAAATAAAAAATAAAATTGTATTTCCTTTTCACTTTCCATTAGCTATGTTTGGTTGGAGGATTTAATGCGAAAAATAAAAATAGAAAGAAAATGAGAAAGAATTGATACAATTTAAATTACAAGTTATGCCTAATTAAGTTGGGAAATAAAAATAAATAAATTACCTAAGTAAACACCAAAAAATAAAAAGTAAGATTATATTTTCTCTCACTTTCTTTTCCTTTAATTTTCTATTAGAACCAAACAAAAAGGAGAACGGGGGAGGGTGCCGTCACAGGAAGGTGCTGTGACCATCAAAATGGGACCGTTTTGTTTATTTAAATAAAGGAAAATGTTCCAAACTTTCTTTTCCCCCCACCTCCTTGACCCCTCTTTCTCTCATTGGTCAATTTTTTTTTTTTTCCTTCTCTTTCAATTACCACCCGCCACGTATGTGGGGTGATGAGGATGGTGATTGAAGGGTCTCTATCAAAATCCTTAAATAAGAAATAAACAAACAAATGAAACAAACGGCTTTTGAGCCACCGTTTTACTGTTGTAATTTTTAGGCTTAGGTTGATTTTAGGAAAAATTTTGTCTCAAAATCAATTTTTTGTTAAAATTTTTTTTTAGGATAAATTGCACTGATAATTTTTATATTTTGTCTTTATGTTTTTGGTTCATGTAATTTTAATTAACTCTATTTGATATAATTTTGACTTTGTCCTAATTTGATTAATTCATTATAATTGTTAATTTTTGATGAAAAATACGCATATAAGCAATATGTGTCACCTTTTAAGAGCAAATTTATAAACTTCATCAATTTACTGAGTTAATATCAACCAACTCATTTTGCATGTTGGTTTTAGGGCCAAAAAGGATAAAATAGTCACAAAATGACAAAATAAGCTAAAAAGTCAATAAAACAAAATGTCACATCTAAATCATAATCATTTTACTTTTTCTCTCACAAAAATCAAAAAAACCAAAAAGCTAACCTAAAAGAGACTTTTTAACTCAAATCAAAATAGGTAAAAGGCTAAAAAGCCAACCTACTTTCCAAATGAATAATTATTTTTCATCAAAAATCTAACGTCATTATCAATTGGAACAAATTGACATGAAAAAGTAAAATTAAAGATCAAAATTTACCCTAAATTTACCCTAAAGAACAAATTTACCCTAATTTTAGTTTTTTATGCCAATTTGGTCCAATTGATAATGACGTTTAGCTTAGTTTTTACTAATTTTTTTTAATATTTTGAGCAAATTTTTTAATTTTTAGATACACCTAATATAAATACACTTAAAAATTATATTATTTGTAAAAAAAAAAAACTTAAAAAAATCCACTAAATATCAAAAATACAAAAAAAAAATTATGAAAATTCAGTACACTTTTTGTATTCTTGTGTATTTATTGATTTTTAAAATATTTTTTTACAAATATTTTACTTTTTAAATACATCTAAAAAAATATAAAAAAATTGTTTAAAATCTTAAAAATATTCACTAAAAATAAAATAAAAAAACACGAAAAACGAAAAACTCAATCAGAACATTAAATTAAAAAAATTAAAATCAAATACATTGATTAAGATTTTCGATTAAAAATAATTACTAAATTAGTTTATGTTAACTCAGTAAATTGATAAGAGTTTTTAAATTTGCTCTTAAAACGTGACACATGTCGCTTATATGCACATTTTTTATAAAAAAATATTTAACAATTATAATGAATTGAATCAAGTTGGGACAAAGTCAAAAATATATAGTCAGATCGAACAAATTAAAATTATATGAACCAGAAACACAAAGACAAAATATAAGAACTATTTGCGCAATTTACCCTGAACTATTTTAGGGAAATTACACCGATGGTCTCTATATTTAACCCCCGTGTCATTTTGATCCTTATACTTTCAATTGGCTTAACTTTAACTCTTAATTTTAGATTTTCCAATTGACAATATGGTTAGCGTTTTTTTAAAAAAATTATCACTAAATTAATTGAGATTAACTAATTGAGTTGAATAAATTTATAAATTTACCTTTAAAAATATAACGCATAACACTTATCTACATATTTTTCATAAAAAAAATACTAAGAAATGTAATCAATTGGACCAAATTAAAACAAAATCATAAATTTAGTATCAAAATCGAGTCAATTGAAATTACAAGGACTAAAATGACATAAAAATCAAAGTATAGAGACTATCGTCGTAATTTATCCAAAAAAAATGATTTTGAGACATAAAATAATTTTTTTTTTACTTCTCATTTTTTCCTAAAATCAACCTAAGCCTAAAAGTTACACTACAGTAACACGGTGGCTCAAAAGGTGTTTGTTTTAAATTTTTTTTTTTATAAACAAAACGGTCCGTTTTGGCTGTGACAGCACCCACCCCGCTCTCAACAAAGAGTGAGATTTTATTTCATTTCTCTTTTCATTTTTCTCATCAAATCTTCCAATCAAATACGGTCAAAAGAGATTGGATGTGTACAACTTCATAATCCACTGAACAAAGGAATAATTGAAGGTTGAAAACGAACTCTCCTTAATCTAGTCCATCTTAATCAACTATCAATAATCAAGAATTACAAGCAAAACTCTGTACGGTTTGTATGCTCTATTTATTTATTTTTCACACTTTTAGAGAAAAAAAAGATGAGAGAGTTAAATCAGATTTGAATTGTTGTTCACACATGTAATAGAATTTGGCTGCCTTAGACTGCCTGAACAAACCGCAAAAATGTTTCTAAATTTACCAATACAAGATAGAAAATAGTAGGATTCGGTGCAGATTTGGCTGAATTGTATACAGAAGAAAAAAAAAATAAGGACAATGGAAACTAAAAAGGAATTATTGGGACTCAAATCATGTGAAAAGAATACTATATATTATTTGTTATTGATTTACCACTTGTAATTTCATACATGTCAACTCTTATTTTGGTTGGACTCTCAAAATTTACGGCAAAATATGGTGTCAATTGAGCAGGTTACACTGACTCCATGAATGATCGTAGAACAAATCCAAAGACGGCAAATCTGAAGCACAAACCTGCATCAGCTCCTTCAGGGCACCCAGTTTGGCAGAAGGATAATTCTCCCTTCTTTTCCAAATGCAACAGCATTCTTAGAATGGCCGAAAGTCCCATCAAAATTGATTTTGCTAGTTCCTTCAGCAAGAGTTGACCAATGGTTGATGCCTTCACTGCCTGGGACTGACCATTGATTTCAGAACCGGGCAGTCCTTCCATGGCCTGCTCATGCTCAGATAAAGCTTCTTTAGTCATTAATATCTGAAAACATAAACATTGTTATGTTGTTTTAAATATCAAATCTCAGAATTTTCGGAAGGTGGCGCTAGAATAACACAAGGGTTATTATTGAAAGTAATCAATACCAAACCAAAAATTGAGTAAAACAAAAACACATCAAAGAAAAGGGAGTTTACTAATGTTCTCGTCCCAGCCATTGCCAGCAGCAAGTCACCCTTTTGCTATTATCCTTCCTTTCTATCTTCTTTTCTTCATTCTTCATCTGTAAACCCTGCACATCAGATCAGAATAAATGTTGAAATAAAATTGCAGATTTTGATAGCATTCCCTAGATTACCAACAACTCACATCAACAACTACAATCACTATTTATGCTTATTTGCTATCAGTGATATGATTTTTATGTGCTAATCATATTTATCAAATGGAAAGATACAATCACCTGTTGTTTCTTCAGAGTCCCCAAATAAAATCTTGTCTGTCTTAGACGACGAACCGTCTTGGTGGTAGTCCTGATGGCTATCATAACCATGATGGCATAGAAAGTACGAGCCTGTTCTTACATGATATTCGGATAAATCTCCAACATTCATGACATTGTGAAGAGAAGGATGGGCATTGTGGTGTTGAATACCTTTCTCTTCACACTCATCATACACAATCTGGACTCCAACTTCCTTTACCTGATAAAGCTCATCAAAACTCGCAGAGAGATTCATTTTATCGCCACCTTCCATCAAAAGATGCCCAATTTCCCAATGGCTAAACCATATCATACTGTTGTCATCGGGAATGCCTCTGAACATTGGGCTGTAGGTCCACTTCAGACCTTTGGTCTTATTGTTGATTTTAATATAATCAAATTGATGGCTTGCAAGGCTTATATCATTGGCAAATGCATAGACAATATATATGTTCAAGGCTACAATCTTGAGATTAAGGACTAAAGGCACATTAAATGATATCGAGGACCCCTTTCCCTTATTGCTACACCAGCCTGGCACCTCATTCCCAGGAACAAATATGCTATATATACCACATTCATACAGTCCCTGTGCCATGGTATTCAAAATAACATTAACGATTAATTATGCAAACAACTATATATACACATATACATACATAAACACACACACACACACACACACACAGCACCTGAAGTGGACCCTTCTTTCTTGTGGATGTCATGTTGTTCAGCAATTCCACCTCAAGGCTTCCCATGGATTCCAAATCAACTAGGCCCAATTTGTTAATCACTTCTGCACCAGCATTTCCAATAGGCTCTAACTTGAACATCCCCTGAACCTCAACTAGTTTTTCGCAATCACTTGAGTCCAAAATCAGAGATCTCAACAAGTTAGGAAGATTTGTTACCATTCCCAGTGAGCTACACCCATCTATATTCAACATTTCTAAACTCATTGGAAGTTCTGGCAGTGATTGGAGTCTAGTGCAACGAGATAACCTAAGTGATTGGAGCACATTAAGACCTTTGATGCTCTCCGGTAGGCTAGAAATTGGATTCTCACTAAGATTCAAATCTTGCAACACAGATAAGCTACCAAGACTTTTCATAAGATCATCATTTGACAGATTGCAATTTGAAAGGCTTAAGCTTACTAATGAGCCTGGTAAAGAAGCTAATGGAAAATAGATGGATTCTGTACTTTTTCTTGGTTTCAATACCCAAGACCAGAAGAGCGAACTCCATGATTTATCCTCACTAGTGGTAGTCGCTATTCTATTTATGGCAGTTCCATCTGCGTGGAGCACTGTTAAATATTTCATCTTTCCCAACTCAGGCAACTGATCAAGCTTTGAGCAACCAGAGAGAATGAGTTTTTCAAGGGATGTAAGATGACCAATTTTGCTCGGAAGCTTCTCAAGATTTTTGCAACCTTTTAGATTCAAGAAAACAAGCCTCCCTAATTTCCCTATTGATTCATGAACCTCTACCAAGTTTATACAATCCTTAAGGATCAAATTCTCAAGATTAGGGAGTCCGTTGAAGTTAGGGGTATTGGTGAGGCCATAGGAATGACTGAGATTGAGGAATTTCAATAATCCCAGCAACTGTAATAAAAATTACAAAACAGTTTACAGAATTCATATGTTGGTCCTGAAAATAAAAGATCAGTAGAAGAAAAAAATATAAAAATAATAAATAATAATTAATCCTACCTTGGTCCCCTTCCAAACTTGTTCAACCTACTATTGCGCAAGTCAAGAGCAATTAGGCTCTCTATAGAAATCACTCGGGATGGATTTTAGAGGAAATCCATGCCAACACAACCATTTTAATCTTTTAAGGAAGTCCTGTACCTCTCGTGGTTTCTACATAATGAGCTGCAGCAATCTAAGTTTGGTGCATCCTTGCAAATGTATCAGTTTTAACTCAACCTGATTTGATTTATTACACCAATGTTTATTGGGTGCCAGGAGAAGAAACCAAAAACAATGTCGTTTCAGTGAGTTGCCTTGGTCTGCAAGCAATGATTTGTTACTAGGTTCTTCAAAGCGGGTCGTTTTGCATTATTAACACCAAAGCTTGTCATGGAACAATTATCTCCCCTAACACATGCATGTCAAGGAAAAGACCTTCAATTGAATCTGTTCCCTGATAGATAAAACATCTTGAATAAGAAAGAACATCCATGACCCAAAAAAATTAAATTAAGGTAAAGAGTAGTATGTTTCTCACAGTTTTATCTCTCAAAACGTTAAAGGAATCATTGTGTTGCCATAATCTGCTGCGTTTACCCGGCCCTTGGGATTCTTGGCGAACAATTTCTCTTCCCATGTCTCGAACAATTGTGCATCATCAATTTGTTTTGTTCATTAAATGTTAAAGAAGACATTGTCAATGAGATTTTGAATCCAACTGTTGGGTAGAAAACACATTCATCTAGGATTCTAATAGTGAATCTTTGCCCTTTCCAATAAAAAAACAAGAAATATGAAGGAATAGATTTGGTCATGGTCATCTGTAAGAATCATAGCTTATTTTCAGCTTTTTTAGAATTTGAGAATCAGGAATAGCCGCCAATTTTTTTATTGCGTTTTCCCATATTTAAGCTTTTCCCAGATAGAGAAGAACCCAAAACTTGAGAGCTAAAGGAAGGCCTCCACAGTGTGTTACTACCCTTTTTGAATGCTACAATAACAATCAATGGATGTCTTGTCCAAAGGCATGCCAACTGAAAAGCTCTAATGATTCATCATCATCAAATCTTCTCACTTATGCATCATTATAAACTTCATTAGCCTTTAACAGTTGCTTGTGCCTGGTGGTTAAGATAATTTACTTCCTGGTGACCAATTGCGCATTCCAATTATTGCATCAAACTGGTCCGCTGATCCACTCATCAAGAACTACAAGAACTCTTTTGCAACCAATGGCATCTTTATCTTATGATTCCTTCATCAACACTGCTTATTTTTTCTTTTTCCTTTTAAAAATGTCCGAAAGAAGTTGCTTTGTAAACGAATAAACCATTGGATCGTTCTGAAAATTTCTCTAACATTTGCAAGAAAGCTGCTAGCTTCAAATCTTTCAAAATTAAATTTAAACAATTTGGCAAGGGATTTCCCTATTCCACCCATTCCATAAATCACTGCTATGCCAACATCCGTTGATTCATCCTGTAACCACGACTAATGTTTTTGACTCGAATCCTATTCCAATTAAGTAGGAGGCAACATTTAAGACTGTGCGGTTCATATCCCCAATCACTTTGACATTTTTTGGTAAATTGCTATGCCTACAAGTTGCAGATAAGTGGAAGTAAAGCATGATAAGCATGCCATGACTTAAAAAATAATAGTAAACTACTTGCATGAGTAATGGAAATACCAAATAGTTGTCCAAAGTTGATAAGAAAATGCGATTACACAAAATGTTGTGGTTGTGCAAGATAATTTTGATTAAAGACAAGACAATTTTGATTTAAAGAATAGCTGACAGCAGGAACGTTATAGAAAGCTAAGAGGATTTTCTCTACTCGCTTAATGTGTTGTGTATTTTGGGGAGACTTCAACAATCAGAAAAGAGAGAGAGAGAGAGAGAGAGAAGAAGAAGAAGAAGAAGAAGACGACTCCACTACAAATTAAATACACAACTGCCCACCAAAATAAAATGATATGCAATATTTATGCAAAAGGGCTATTCCTAAAACTTTTACCACCATGGCAACTATCATCACAATAATCAACTTCTACCAGCACATGTTTTTGTATAAAGTATATTAACATATATGTTGTTCACTTATATATGTTTGACAGTACCTCAGCCCCACTTTTTTGGTATAGTGACTGATTCCGGTAACTCAAATCCACACAACCACAAACAAATCTGAGGTGGGATAGCACTCGCCACAGCACTAGGTGGCGAACTCTAATTAAAACTAACTAATGAATATTACAGTTTTTAATAACTCAAAAACAGTTTCATAATGCATTACCAAATGAAGTCTAAGTAATAAAGATATGAGGAAATTACCCATCAGCTTGATTCTGTAAGACCATCCCTGCTAGATCAGCAACTTCTCTAAGTGCCACCCTCCACCCTTCCACCTTTCTCCTCAGATACTCCTTCTTCCTTTCATTAGTTTCCCCCATGAATCGCTCTTCGTGTCTACCAAAGGCTTCTGCAAAACTCCCCATTTGTTTCCTAACTTGGGAAGGATCCACATCATAGAAGACGGGTAAAATTACATGTCCTGATGTCCTCTTGTGTTCAAGGATCATCACAAGTTCATCAAGGCACCATCTGGAAGAAGCATAGTCTTTGGAAAACACAATTATTGAACTCCTTGATTCTCTTATTGCATTGTCTAGTTCTGATCTAACATTTTCACCTCTCTCAATACCATCATTATCTCTAAATGTGCGAAAACCTGAACCTAATAATGCTGTGTAGAGGTGGTCAGTGAAGGCCTTGCGGGTGTCTTCGCCTCTGAAGCTCAAGAACACATGATAAGTACATCGAGGCGGCGTGGAAGAGGAGGCCATTTGACTTTGGGCAAACCCTTATATGATATAACTGAAGGAATGCTACATACAATTTCTCAAAGAAGTAACTCTCTGAACCGCAAAATTAACCATGAAAACTACCAACCCAACTCAAGATGAACACAAGAACAAACAAATATCTACTAGAGCACCTCCAATCCTTCATTTTATTTTTTTAAATTATTTATCAAATTTGCGTAAAAAAAACTGGTTAAAAGCTTAATTTACAAGTATGGGATGCTCCAATAGCTTTCCATCAAATTTAACTAAAAGCTTGATTTGGTGAAAAAATTGAATGCTCCTATCCTCACTTACTTAAAAACTTCACCAAGCTTATCCCAAAAGCTTTTTTCATCAAATTTGGTGTGTTTTTGGCTTGATTTGATGAAAAAATTGGTAAAAATTTAGTAACTGATGAATAATGACAGTGGGAAATATGAGTTGTTTGTAATTGAAAGGTTACCTGTTTTTGCTGTTCGAAGGTCCCTAAGATTTGGACTGAGCGCTTTTTAGTGTTAGAGATCAAACAACGACAGAATGAAGACAGACCAAGCAGCGTAAGAGTGAAGAGTAAAATTTGCCTGGCGCAGCAAATTGGTAAAGGAGTAAGTCAACCTAGTGGACTGCCTAATGTTCAGGTTCGACTTTTGTCAAATTTATATTTAATAAAAAAAATTGGTAGTTTGAAAATTTGAATTTGTACTTTCTAGTTGATTTATTGGACGATTATTTACACGATCGGTGTAATACTTATTATTTATTGTGATTGTCACTCTTGTCAACTTTAACTATTCTTTCCAGTTGATTGACCCGATAACCAGCAAGCTAAAGTCCAACCGGATTGAACAAGCCAAAAAAACTCCATATTTAATCATCAAAATTATTTAATTTGCAAATCTATTTATGTGTATTATTCATTTAAAATAAAAATAAAAAAAGATTAATTTAATAATTATAATATTTTTATTTTATCATATTTGTCTCATAAAATTGAATAACAAGTATGTTTTTAAAATATAACGTATACTTTTTTTAGACAAATATAATAAAATAAAAAGACTATTGTTATTAAATTGACTTAAATTTTTTTTTTCGTAAATTATATTGACACCCCCCTAAGGTTTCTGTTTAATGCAGATTCTTCCTCACATTTGAAAAATTACACTTGCCTCCATGTTAAATTAAAATGACATATTTGTCTCTCATCCTTTATACATATAAAATAATAATAATAAAAAAGATAAACTACCAATAGGTCCTAATAGTTAGACTTAATTCCCATCAAGTCCTATTGAAAATAAGTCTTGGCAAAATCATCGCTAAAAACAATTTTTTTGTGACGATTTTTTACATATGTCTTTAAAAATTGACAATTAGTGACTTTTTGTTATCATAATTTTTATAAATTGTCGTTAAAACTTACAATTAGTGACTTTTTTTGTGATGAATTTTTCAAATTATCACTAAAAGTTGTGAATTAATGACAATTTTTTGTGACGATTTTTTTAAACTATCGCTAAAATTTATAATTAGTAACATTTTTTGTGACAATTTTCCTATTGTCGCTAAAAATTAAAAATTAGTTACATTTTTTAGTAGTGTTTAATGAAAAATATTATTAATCATCATAGGACCTATTGGACAATAAGTCCACTTATTAAGACCAATACGTAAGTCCCCCATAAAAAAATAATGCAAATATTTTGTTCATGTCATTTCAAGGGAAATAACAATCAATGTGTTTGGTTTGAGTTTTCTGGATTAAGTTTTTTGAAAATTGAGTTTTTTGTTTTTGGGTTTTTTTATTTTTAGTGAATGTTTTTAAAATTTTAAACATTTTTTTTACTTTTTTAGATGCACTTTACTTACATGTATCTAAAAAGTAAAAAATTTGTGAAAAAATATTTTAAAAAATTAACAAATACATAAAAATATGAAAAGATACTAAATTTTTGTATTTTTATATTTTTTTGTATTTTTGGTGTTTATTGAATTTTTAAAAGATTTTTTCACAAAAATTATACTCTTTATGTATATTTATGTTAAGTGTGTCTAAAAATTAAAAAAAAGAAATTGCTTAAAATATTTTTAAAAATTCAATAAAAATAAAAAAATATGAAAAAAAGAAATTAAAATTTTCTGAAAACTGTTTTCAGAAAAACGAAACCAAACAAGCTGAATAATCTTCTTTGATTTAACTCAACAAAAAATTGAGTTTTTTTTTTTTGTGTTCTTTTTATTTTTACTGAATTTTTAAAA